TGCTCTCAGCACTATAATCACATTACCTGTTCTTTCTCTTAGTAAGACTCTGCATCGCTCTTGTCGAGTAAGAGGAGGCTCTCTTTATAAAAATCAACAGTACAATATTTAAATCCAGAAATCCCAAGAAGTTTAAACTGTTTGCTCACAAGGTCTAGTGATACTAGTTCCTGCCTCTCTTTTTCTTTCAGCAGTAACAGTACTTCCCCACTCTTCCTAAAACATAAGGCGCTGAGGAAAATCGTTTCTGGACCTAGTGGTTGTGGATTGAGAGTAATCAATTTGGACCATGATTCCTCTCTGCCATACTCTTTCATCACCCATATATCAAAAACAGAATCTTCACGCCCATAATCCATATAGAAATCTTCATGATTGTTGCGCCTCATGAACAAAGCAATAGATTTTCTGTTATCTGAAACAGACAATTGCAATGCCAACTTGAAATTCCATAGAATAATCTTCGGCATAGGTATCTGACTGAACACCTCCTTGCCCAGGTCAAATGTCAATATAATATAGTAAACACCGACATCTGTCTGACGGGCTACAGGCCAATGAAGAACCCCATTAACAAAAGCACTGGATGCAGCTTTATCTATTAGACATGCAGGAGAAACACAACCAAGCCTCCTCCATGTGCCGGTGGCTAGGGAATAAACCTCAGCTACAGTTGGCGTCTCAACATCTTCACCCAATGAAGTCACAACTCGCACAACCTTATAGTCATTGGTTGTAGCATCAAAACCGAACCCAATAGAAGCATTGTACCCACCATGCGTCTGATAGGTAATACCAGGCTTGGGAAGGGTCACTGACTTTTTAATGGCTGGGTTCCATATAATGAGGTTGTAAGCATAAGAGAGGAGATCATCCGCAAGACAAATTAGCCCATCACAAGTGCCAACCACGCGAATATGTGAATTGCCGTAGTTTTTCTTTGCGGCCATTGGAAGTTTGATTTTGGAGTACACATCAAACGCCTGGTTATCATGATGCACAGAGTGAACCTCGTCTTTCACCTTGTGAATGACCTTGTTTTGGTAGTAGTTGAGGCTATTGCTAAGAGAAATTCTGTGGAGTAGGAGGAGGTCAATGTTATTCTGGTTAGCAAAGTCCACGGTTGGGTTGAGGTGTGCGTGAATAAAACTTTGGTTTATGATCATGGACCTCCATGCCTTGCAGACTGAAGTGCATTTGATCAGAGATTTAACGGATAGCCTAATTAGGATCTCTTGTATGATTTCCTCAGGAAAAGAGTGTGCCATCGCTTCAAATTTCAATTCGTGTATCCCTTCTGTGATATCTTGTATCTTATCCATGTCTTGCAAATTCAAATAGTTATACCAACTGAGAAAAGCAATAGAGACAAAACTCAGCAATAATTGAGAAAGGAAAAAAAAAACAGGGGAGCTGTTCTTAAAGCAGAGTACTGAAAATAACAGAGCAAAAAGAACCCTAAACGTCATATTATTCATATCAAACCTAATAAAAAATCAAAACCCATCTGGGAAAAAAATACTAAAGCCAAACCCATAATTTTTAGCTGACAAAAAAGCTCTAAAAAAACTCCCATAAGAAGGAAAGAGAAAGTTTAGGAACTTACAAATTTTGGTCCTGATGAGCAGGGCCGAAGTAATGTAGCTGAAGAAGAAAAGCTTCTAGGAATTTCCTTTCCGTACCCTACCAGATTTATATGCTTCTCTATTTATATGCTTTGTTACTGCAAAAGCTTTCCTCTTTTTTTTGGTCAGGCCGCAAAAGCTTTCCTATTTGTTTTTGAAGAAATCAAACATTATAGGTTCGATCCTAGGCGCTTGTGAATAGAACAGACTTTGTTGGGAGAGGTCCCCGCTTTGCGCCCGACAGTACCTCGAGGGTTAGTCCCCGCAATCGCGCGGGGGATACCTTGGTTTTCACCAAAAAAAAGAAATCAAACGTTATAAGTTTCTTAGAATAAGTTGTTTGGAATATATATATATATATATATAAGGTAAAAGGCAGAGAATGGTAAAACATTCGAAATACCAGAAAATGTCCTTGGTTAATGCAAATATTAAGAATTGAAATTATTAATTCAATTAGGATAACATGGTAAATTCACACTTTTTGGTGGGGGAGAATTTGGGTTTAGCCCCTCATGGGTTGGAGATGGTCTAAGAGCTTCTCATGTTGAGTCCACATAAGAGATCATACGCTTTGCCATTGAATTTGCAAAGTCCCTTTACTTTAAACATTATTAATTAATGTGATTCTATTAACCATTATTAATTATGTCACTTGAAAATTAGGACAATAGAGTCCCACATTGGAAAGCGACTGGACGATGCAAATACTTATAAATACTTATATCAGATCTTGTAATTAGTCTTGTAACGTGGGCTTGTAATTAAGTAGGACATTAAAGTGATTGCGATGTGATAGAGACTAAGCTAAGTTGGACAACCCACCCATGAAATTCCCTAGAATGGCCAACCGATCTGTTTCTTAATACTTAAACACCAAGCAGGATTGAAACACAGCAACAATCCTGTAAACAAAAAACTCCAGAATACGCAGCGGAATAAATTCAGATAAAAACGCAAACAATTGCACAAAGGGACACACGATATGTTGACGCAGTAAAAACCTCAAGATGAGGAAAACAACTGCGGGTACTATGCCGGAGAACAAATCACTTTGAGAAAGAATACAAAAAGGTCTTACAAGTCTCAACTCACAAAACTAACGCTCACAAGGCAGACTTGCCTACTCACCTTTGCTAGTCAACCCAATCAGCGATCTTGTCTTCCTTCGTCAACAAAAGATGGCACAACTCTGGTCTCGCCTGCTCACACCTCAAGGCACGATTGTTGATCACCAACATGCATAATGCTCATGAACTCACACATATATGAAAAGATGATGATTTAATCACTCATGGAGGCTAACAAGGAACAGCCACATGAGTTTTTCAATATGAACTCTCAAAAAAAAACCTCTACAAGAATATTTTTGTCGTTCTCTCTTTTTCAACGTTGCAAACCACTAAAACAAAACGGCTAAGTTACTTTCTTAAATTACACGCTTAAAAAAACTAGGTCATAGACCAAAAAAGGCTTTTAGCAAAAATGGGCTTTTTAACAAATAAATTATTTCTTTAAAACAAATAAAGCCACTTAATTAAAAACCCAATGTAAAGACAACAGAACCCGTTTACTTAAATAAAACCACGTTAAAAAACTCACTGATGTCTGGCACTGGATTATGTAAGACTGAAACCATATATCAGTCTTGTACATTTGACAGCCACTTTTGATGACCTTACAAATATGCAAATATGAATGCATGGATGCAAAACATACCTTGGCATTGTCTCTGAGCCACACTGATTCAAGATAGCAGAACGTCACTTGAAAACTGTAGGTTACACGCAAAGACCTACCCTATGTTTTTGTAATAGGAAATTGCCAATATACTAAAAATTGGTCCTAACAACCCACTATGAGTGGGTAGCAAATAATAATGAATCTTAGTGTTTAATAATTAATCTCAATGTTGAATAATTAATCTCAATTTATTGTAGCAAACCAAAAAAAAAAATTCAGAAAGGAGAAAAAAGAAACACGCCCTTGCAATGGCTCAACTCTTCATCTCCCAATCACTTATTTGTTTTTTTTTTTTTTTAAATGAGCCAACTCATAATCAAAATAGCTTTTCTTTCTCTCATAAACCACACACCTCTTGAACCAAAGCTTTAGAACCCCAATCAACAAGGTCTACAGCAACTACAATGGCCATGGCCCCATTTGGCAGCCCTAGCAAAACTATTTACTTCTCTAATATGCAAATAAAAAGAGAAATGTAATTTTTTTTTTTTTTTTGGGTTTAAAAGGAGGGGTGCACAGATAGAACCCTGTTGGATTTGTTGGTGATTGTTATTTTTTTTTCTGGTAATAATAATGATAGTAATTCATGGAGAGAAAAAAAGGGTAAGAAGTTGTGCCGAAATGTGTTCATCCTTTGGATAAGAGCTAATTGATATTGAATAGTACCTAGCTAGTTCAACACTTACGGTATAAGAAAATCACTTTTGGGGACAATGATATTGGGGGCCAAGCAGACGTTAAGGGCTCGTTTGGGAGGACCTAGTTAGTTCAACCAAACGTTAAGATGTCAGAAGTTTTAAATTAATTTATCATAATGCTGATAACTTAGAATTTTGGCGGCTTTAAATTGCCATTGCCAAGTAAATACAACGAAACATCAGGCACTTCAGGCATAGGACGCTATTGCCCTAAAGATCAGCAACAAAATCAACATGTTAGATAACAAGAACCGGGAGTGACTGCACTTCAGGCAAATGACGTTACAACACTACAAATATGCAACAACAGAAAACAAGAAAAGCGTTAATCAATTGTTAAGCATTATAGCTGACATCGGTGGTCATTAAAACTTTTTCCAGTACTTCTTCAGGAGTGCAAATGAAAATTCTTCTTCCCTAAATGAAAGCTACACTGGAAACGAAACTATTGTACAAATGAAAACCATTGGAAAAGGGATTAAAGCATGAACTATAGCACAATCTCTTACAGCAGCAAACAATAAATTGAATACACAAACTTCACTACAGTAGCAGTAATCAGTCCACCCTCAAAAGTCATACCAACTTGATATTGAATGAGTCAAAAACTAAAAGCACTCATAAAAGACCAGTCTAACCGTGTTTACATGAAAGCTGAGTTGATATTATTATAATTATATTGTTTTTCACTTTGAGATATCCAAATTGTGTTTCCATGTGAGCTGAGTTGACTTTAGTAACAAGTTGTGTTCTAGCAACAGAAGCGAGAAAGACAATCAGCTAAAGGAAAAAAAAAACCCACAGAAGTCGACATAATAAAGATCCCACAGCAATTTAGTCACCAATCATGCTTTTAATGGACATAAAAACCTGGCAAACAAAGAATTGAAATGTTCTGCTCTCAGCACTATAATCACATTACCTGTTCTTTCTCTTAGTAAGACTCTGCATCGCCCTTGTCGAGTAAGAGGAGGCTCTCTTTATAAAAATGACCAGTACAATATTTATATCCAGAAATCCCAAGAAGTTTAAACTGTTTGCTCACAAGGTCTAGTGATACTAGTTCCTGCCTCTCTTTTTCTTTGAGCAGTAACAATACTTCCCCACTCTTTGTTGTTAATAATATGTTAACTCGCAATTGTACGGGGCAATTAGTAGTATAGCAAGACAAGTACGAGGTCGTACCCACGAAGACTGAGAAGTTCAAATTAGTTATGTACTTTAGATTACCAAATTCAAGAAGTTAGGAAGTTAAATCTAAAACAGAATTTAAAGCAAGAGTGAGTTTGAAAACAAATGCAGCAAGATTAAAATGAACTTTGAAGTGANNACTTCTTTATTGTATACAATGCATGGCTTCATGCCTATTTATAGTTATGTGTTGCCGACTTTGCTCTCCATTCCACCGCCTTGTTTTACCTTCTAGACAATTCTTCATGCTTCAACTTGGCTGCCAACTTGCTTTGCTTTCCATAGTTTATGCATCTTTCTAGAATAAACTATATTATTCTAATACATCAACTAGTTACAAAGTCGGTGAAGCTTTCTCCAGTTTTCCAGATTTTTCTATAGTTATCTAGCTCAAATGTTGACTTCCTTTTCTAGGCTTTATTTCCTTTTATACTTCTAGAACTTTGTAGAGATTGCTCCTCAAAATAGGTTGAGCTGGGGTTGATACTTTAACATTGTGTTCTAGCAACAGAAGCGAGAAAGACAATCAGATGAGCTTCCCCACTTCTAGAAAGATGTATGAAGGATATGGAGGTGATTTGGGATGAGTTTGAGTGAGTGGTGATGGCTAACG